ATGGAGCTGACGTGATCACAAATGTCCTCAGTCACCAGTTCTTGTAACCATGCCAGAAAGACTTCATATGTGTTGCTCAGAGTAGTAGGCATGAGTTGATTATAAGGGATGGGGAAAGGAAAACGGGAGAGTCTTCTTAGATAGGAGAGGGAATGGTGCATCCCTCCTGCCCTCCTGTTTTATTGGGGGTCCCAGGAAAGTTTCCAGAATACTGCCCAGGTCCACCCATGACTTCTGAATAACAGCAGGATTGTATCAGACTTTCAAGTCCCCACTGCATATGGTCTTACCCCATGAAGGGGAGATTTTACTATTATAATGATGTATTGAGGATCTAAGGCAACTCTGGGTCACTTTGGCTGATTGATTCAAATTGGAACTTGTTGTTAGGCATGGGTGGAGGCTTTGCTCTTAATCATCCTGTGTCCTTGAGTCCTGGTATCTGGTCTTATAAAGGTTACAAAAGACTTCCACTTCAGGGTAACTTGTGTTCTTATTGGCAGGGAGGAGTTTCATGGGCCTACTTTTTTCCTGTAAGTAACAGGTTGTTTGATGAGAAATATAGCATATCCTATTGACTTAAGCCAGGCATGGCTGCAGGTAAATTGCTTTTTAAAAGAAAGCAGGTGGGGATTGACATGGTAGGCCCATTTTATAGAATGACCCCTTCACCTCATGTTCTCCCCACTCATATATGAGTTACTTATCAAGAAACACAATTATGTAGGAAATTAGTTAACACAATGGAAATACTGCCTCTTAAATGGTATAGGGAGTTCAATTTAACTCCCCCTGAGGGTGAAATAATTTACCCAGTCACCAGGGTTGGTTGATTGCTCTTGGGAAATACATAACACCAATTCATCATCTTTGAAAACGAGGAATAAAAGAAAAGGTATAATATTGGTAATAAGAATGCCAAATTACTCTTACTTATAGATGATACAGTTGTATACTGGGAAAACCAGTCAATTGGAAATCATGAGGAAAATAGTTTAGATGCTGGCTTAATACAAAAATAGTATGTAACAATAATATTTTTGTACATACAAGCAGTCTTTTAGAAACTACAATGCAAGAGTATGTTCCTTTTTTTCTCTTATTAATCTGCAATTTGTCAGCTTTTTGTTTGTTTGTGGTATTAGGGACTGAACCCAGGGGCTTTTTACCACTGAACTACATCCCCAGCTCTTTTTATTTTTTATTTGATACAAGGTTTTGCTAAGTTGCTTAGGACCTTGCTAAGTTGCTGGTTTAAAATGTCCAATCCTCCTGCCTTAGCCTCTCCAGTCCCTGGGATTATAGGCGTGTGTCACTGTGCCCAGTTAGTTTTCTAATGTTTTAAGCAGCTGTAGAAAAACAAAGACAAAATAAGCTATCTCATTTTTATTTAAAAATAAAATTTAGGTGAAGAATTAAATGTAAAAATGAAAACAATGAATTCCCCAAATACCAGAAAAAAAACATGGATGAAAATGTATTTCTTGGGGAAAACTGGACTTTTTAAGAGTGAAAAGAAACAATAAATTTCACTTTATAAACATTTTAAACATCTGTGTGGAAAGAAACTAAGTCAAAAGGCAAGAAATTATAAAATAAATTTTATGTAGCTCGAGGCAGATAAAGGTAACAATCAGTAAGAAAGATATCACCCTAAATAATAATGGACAAAAGACCAGGTTAATTAAATCATGGAAGTATAAAGACTATATATATATATTTATAAAATGCTCAACATTACTAATTATTAAAGAAAAACAAACAAAAGCATTAAAGTGTGTTTTACCTACAAAGACTGGTTGGTATCAGTCAGAATTTGCTAGGGCATAAAAATAGGTATTTCATTCACATTTGGTAGGAGTACACATTTGTATAATCCTTTGAGAGCAGTGACTATTACCTTAACCATGGCTATTTCAATTTTGCTTTTTTCCCCAATATATATATATATATTTTTTTCACTTAAGAATTTTTAAAAATACCTTTCTCATAAAAGAGATGAAAGTCTGTCAAAGAATCTATACTTTTATAGAATGTGACATGTACTTATATAACAGTTTGAAAAGCAATTCACAAGAAATTACCCTCAAAATGAGTATACTAGTTTCACTGTAAATTATACCAGTATTTACTACTATTGCCCCCACTCAAATAGAATAAAATAGCATCTCATTTTAATTTGTACTTTTAAGTGAGGAGAAAAATTTTCCCATGGCTTATTTGTTAATTTGTTTATGTAAATTATTTAAAAAATTTTGTTGGCCATTAATTCCTGTGAGTCTTAATATTCCTACCCATTTAATGATTCCAAGAATTCCTGTATACAGATATTAACTTGGTTTTCCCCTCCCTGGGGACTCTCCATACCACACACTTCTCATGGCTCCTTCCTCCCTCCTGTGGCTGTCTGTGAACACCACCCTTCTGCCAAAGGCTTCTCAGTCCTCAAGCTCTACAGTGACATCTGCTTTTCTTCCCAAAGCACTTAGAGCTGGGTTTTGCATTCTGGGTGCTATATACTAAAAGATAGATATAAAAGGCCAATTTTTTTAAAAAAGAGTAATTATTTTTAGGATTGTTTTAAAGATCAGCTATAAACCATTTGAAAATAATTCTATAGCATTAATGCACAGAAACAAACAATGGGTAAAAAAAACCCTGGTCAACTATAAAAGACTAAGTGCTTGAATAAATAAATACCAAAAATAAGTTTCAAAAAGTATTTTATTAAAAAAAACATTAAATGTAATGTTCCATAAAAAACCTATATGCTTCTATTTATATATGGTAGTAATTCTATTAGTTTGAATTAGATTTTGGAAAGGTTAGAGAGTTTCTCACGAAACTTAAGCACTTAATACTATAAAACAAATAACAAATGAGGCACAGAAAAGACAAACCACCATTATATGGCTCTGGTTTATGCTATATGGGGATTGAACTCAGGGCCTTGCACATGCTAGGCAAGGTCTCTAGCACTCAGCCATATCTCCAGCCCTTTATTTATTTATTTTTATTGTTGGTTGTTCAAAACATTACATAGTTCTTGATATATCATATTTCACACTTTGATTCAAGTGGGTTATGAACTCCCATTTTTACCCCGTATACAGCTTGCAGAATCACATCAGTTACACTTCCATTGATTTACA